CAGGTGGGACCCAGAGGAGGAAAGACCAGCCAGTTCCCATCATGAGGGTTCCAGAAGAGTTTGAAGAAGAGCCTTTGACCTGGGTGCCTGAAGGAAGGAGTAGGGCTTCTACAGAGAGAGTATTCAGGCAGAGGAAATAGCCAAGCAAAGGCTTGGAGCACAGACTCAGTGACCAGTGACCCATTACCTGCGCATGAGGAACAACCAAAGGTCACGCTAAGCTTTCTGGCCTAGAACTCTAGTTGGAAAGATTAACATCATCTCCTCTACTTTGAGCTCCATCTCTGTCTTGGACAGCTCCTCATGCAGGTCCTACGGGCACCTAAATGCAATGCATCTAAAATAGGGCTCATCCACTTCCTCCAGCCCTGCATCTTCTCTCATATTCCTACCACTTTCCACCAGACCCATCAAATGAAGAGCCTCAGGGTCATCCTCAAGTCCTCTGGCCAGCTAGCCCTGTATGTGTGATGGGCACTTGATGGTCAATATTGGTAGAACAAATGAATGAGTGAGGAAGAAGAGGGACAGGAAGTGGGGAAAGGCTCCTGCTTGCTATGTGTCAAGTTTGAAAAACAGTGAGGCCAGGACTGGCTAGGCCATGCTTCCCAGAGCCTGTGTACAAGCAGGAGCTGGATCAGAACTTGAAGAGCATTGAGGGAGGTAAATACAGGTTTCCAAGTGCTGAGACAGTGGTATGGTGTAAATATAGAGTACAGAGAAGGTGGCCATGCTACAACCAACCATGTAATGACAGGAGCTGGTTCACAGGCAGGTGAGGAATGGTCACTCTCTTCCCCCACTCCCTCTCCACCCCTGAAATTCACCCAGTGACCCTCTATCACCTCAAGGACTGGCCCACACTAAGCCCTCCTAACTGATGGGCAGTAAGCCCTACACCTGCCTGATATGGAGCCTCTAGCTTCCAACCCCAGGAGGAGTTGGGAAGGAAGTGTGGGATCTGGGCAGAACCAGCTCCAGGTAGAACAAAGGAGATCTGCCACTCACCCCTGACCCCTATCCAGTGGTCTCTATTGTTAATGATCATTCCTTTGCTGACCACCCTGAAGAGAGAGCAGAGAGTGAAAAAGAATAAGGAAGAGATGGACAGAGGGCTCCCTGCTACCTGGCCAATGTGATAACCATGATTTCCAGAGCGAGGTCTTCACATTGGCTCCCATGCATAGAGCCAAAGGTGCTGGACAGTCTTTGGGTGTGTCTGTGGGCAGGGGGAGTGAGTGCCACCAGGAGAGAGCTCAGCTGACAGGCAGCAGGCAGGAAAACGGTGGCTTTATTAACTAATATGCCTAGTTGCTAAATGTTGCCCCATTTACAAAGAACCCATAGAGACAAAGAGCTTCTATCTCCTTGGACAGCTCTCTTCCTCCTCCTCCCCCTCTTCACCTACCTCTCCTAATCATATCCCAGGTTTCTCATTTGCCAGACTTCAGTTCTCTTGGCCAGGGTAGCACTCCACGGCCCTGGCAGAAATCTAATCTCCATGGGCATCTAATCACCACCGCCACTGAGATGAGAATGTGCAGCAGGCATGGCCCGGGGGGCTTCCGGGACGGTGCCAGCCAAAGGCACTCTGCATGGTGGAGTGTCTGGCACAGGGCCAGCCATGCAAATTTCTTCCCAGAAGGAATGAGGTCTCTGTTCAGGGAAACCCCCAGGTGGAAGTACTGGCCCTGGGCCCCTTTAGCTGCCCCTCCCCTGGGGCTGCAGTCTGGCAGGGAGGAGGCCAGCTCTGCTGCCTTCCGCATCCCTGCTTGCTCCCTATGGGGGAAGGTCAGGTGGTCTTCAATGAGAAGGAGCTTGAGCTGGGTCCTCAGAGGGGCAAGGAGCCACCCTCTTTCTCTATTTCCATGGATGAGGCTGGGACACTGACCCAGGGTATCCTGTCCACTCCTTAAGTTCCTGTGTGTTCACTGGCCGGTGTAACCCAGTTGGCTGGGTATCATCCCATACACCAAAAGGTTGCCAGTTTGATCCCCAGTAGGGGGTGTGTAGGAGGCAGCTGATTGATGTTTCACTCTCACATTGATGTTTCTCTCTCTTTCTCCCTTCTTCTCTCTCTAAAAATCAATTTTAAATCTTTTTTTTTTTTTTTTAAGAAAGTGAGTAGGTGGGTGAGGGCCTGTGCTCAGGGGGGAGTAGGCAGGGAGAGGTCAATGGCGGGGAAAGGAGACATGTGTGATACTTTCAACAATAAAGATTTTAAATTTTAAAAAAAAGAAAGTGAGAGGAGGGGCAAAGAGGTGGAGCAGGTGCCCCCTTTTCTTGATCCACCGAGCAGATCTTGATCCTGAGCAAAGTCTTTCTCCAAAGAGTATTAATTTCAAGAAAAATCCATTTGGGAAAAGACTCTAAAAGTTTGGCCACCTGGTTGACCCTCTTGAACAGAGACTTGAAGTCCCTGGAGCATTTGGTGTTTGTGGGGGATTAGGAGGAAGCTGAGGGGTTGGGGGGAATGGCTCTGAATCAATAGTGCTGTTGCCCAATGTTGCCCCATCTGTAAGGGAAAGTCAGCAATCAAAGGGCTTTTCTCTGCTTGAACTTCCTGCCCCTTCTTCATGTCTTCTTCCTCCCTCTCTGAACCTCTGATCCTCCTCATAGTCTTCTCCTCACCCCTGTCTGGCAGGGGTAGGCCCAGGCTCTGAGTCGCTGTAGGTCCATATCTTTGTGTCCTTTCCAATTGCCCCTTCTCCTTACTCATGACATGCAATCTGGTGCCCAAAATACTATCTTCCTTCATCCTGCCTCTTGTATCCACGTATCCCTTCTCATCCCATGGTCATGAGATGGCCGTGGACCCCTGATCACTCTCCTGCCTCTTGTCTCCCCCACTGCAGTCCATCCCTCGGGGAATCTTTCAAGACCACAGGCTAACAGTGGCCCCAAGGCACTGCTCCATGCCCCTCCTCTCTTCTCCTACACTCTGTCCTTGAGGAATTTCATCCTCCTCCCTCCTCTGGAATAAACTAAGGCTCTCCCAATGAGCCAGACCCACACATCGACCACCATTCACTTTAGTCTAGTTTCTGTTTGGTTTTATTATAGACTGTGTTTATTTAGTAGAATTACTACTCAATTAGAATATTGCCTATTAAAAAAAAAAAAGAATAAGAGAAGAAAAGAGGAGCATGAGTTCTCCCAAGACTCTAAAACCATGACTTTGAATAAGCACCCAGGTAAGCCAAGCCAACTTATTTGAGAAATGCAGATATAAGTGTGTGTGTTTGGGGAGGAGGAGGCGGGGAGAGGAGAGAAGACCCATTGTTCTTTGGGTAAACTCCCTGTGAGAAAAGATCACTTTCTTCTTGTTCTCCCTCCCACACCTCTCCTTGCCTTCTCACCCCTGCTGTCCTGAATCACGTGGCTCTTTTGATCTGGCTACAGACAACTGACCATTATGGATCACCTAACTCAAGCTGCCCAAATAATATTTTTTCAAAAAATTTCTAAATGACTCTCATACAGAAAAGTGTAAAAACATTCATGTACAATGCAATAAGTTATCTCAAATAAAACACGCATGCAACCACCACCAGGTTAAAAAAGGAAACATTGCCAATGTCCAAAAAGTCTCTGCTCAAACCAGCACCTTCTCCCATCCCCAAAATTAACTACTATCCTAATTTCTAAAGCTATAGTTTATTCATGACTATGAATCAGACTTCATATAAAGGGAATTATACAATATGTATTCTTTGTATCTGATTTCTTTCATTCAACGTTTGTCAGATCATCTACTTTTTTCATCTTCTGACTTCTATTTCATTTTCTAATAATTTATAGTATTTTTGTATTTTATCCTTATATCTGGCAACCTCGTTAAATTCACTTATTAATTCTAATTATTTGGGAATTTCCACAAACAGTAATGAGAGCTTCATTACTCCCCCCCACCCCCTATCATTTTGTATGGGAGAGACTCTGAGTACAATGTTGGATGTGGAGAAAATGGCATCCAGGTTGGAAAGCTTTCAACATTTCCCCCACTAAATATTTATAAATTAAGGCATTTCTCTTCTATTCTAGTTTTTAACATAAATGAATGTTGAATTTTAGCATCTATTGAGCTAGTCATTTGATTTTTCCCTTTTGTGATGAATTGCACTGATTTATTTCTGAATGCCAAACCAACTATGTATATATAATTAGATATAGATATAGATATAGATATGGATATGGATATGGATATGGATATGGATATAGATATAGATATAGATATAGATATAGATATAGATATAGATATAGATATAGAGATATATCCCAGTCTGGTAGTATTCAGTTTTTAAAAGTAAACTTTTTTTTGAAATGAAACTTACATAATATAACTAATGCACACATCGTAAGTATACAGTTTGATGGATTTTAAAAATCTGAACACCTCTCTAGAGAACAGCTCCCAATTCAAGGAACAGAATAGCACCAGTCCCCAGAAGCCCTACACAGGCCTCTTTCCAGTCACTACCCCAAGGGGTGACCACTATCCTAACATATCACACAACGTGTTAATTTTGAGTGTTTAAGGTTTTTGGCCACGCGACTCTCAGGTCCTCTTCTGCACAACATGTCTCTCCCACCTCTAAGGTTCTCTGGGCTGCAGGGGAAGCCTTCCCAGAACCCATGTGAACACTTGGTCACTTCTCTGAGAGCTGAAGGTCACTGTGTTGGTGACTAAGGACAGGTGATGGACTTTGCCTATCAGCAGGCATTGGCAGGGGCCATGGAGCATGCACATGAACTCCAAAGGAGGCTAAGCTTTGCTCTGTACAGTCATGTCTCCTGCAGAGCCTGCCTCTGCACATTTCACAACTCAGACTTATTTGTGGTTGGTGTTGACCACACCATGGCCTCTCTGTGAGAAAAGGAGCAGGAAATGTTTAGCCTGGCTGCAGGGAGAACAATGGGCACGTTCACAAGCCTCAGAAGGGTTTGTGTGCATTTTGCCCAATACTTATTATTTTACCGATCACTCTGTTGCCCACAAATGTCAGCGCACCAAATAATTCATTGAGATTGGACCTGAGCAGTGACGTGTAAGATGTGACAATCAAACCTGTGAGAGACCGAGCTGGTTCTTGGCCATCATCCCTGGCTGTCGGGGAAGGTACAGCTTGATGGGGAAGCAGCAGGTGCAGGCTGCCAGGGGACTGAGAGGAGGCTATGAAAACAGGAGATGGTTCGCAGGATGAGGAACTGGTCGGCAAAGCCTGGGGACCTGGAAGATGAAGCAGAACCCAATGGCTATTTAGAAATGAAGCAAAGTGTCAAGGAAGTGAGCAATTTCAGGATATTAGGAAATACTCTGGCTTGAGGTTGCTCCTATGAAATAATTTGACCCCCAAAATCAGACGGTCTCAGAGCTGAATGTTTCCTTTGATGCCATTTTATAAGTGGGGTCTCCAAGCCCAAAGGGGGCAGATGGCCTACTCAGATCTGCCCTGGAAGGGCTACCCAGAATCAGGCTCCTTGCCAGGTTGGGAAAGGGGGTGTCGCTTCAGTTGAAACCATCCTCAGGTGGGGGCTGGCTTTAGCTCAGATGTTCTTTCGAGTCAAGCCTTCGCTTAACATCCACTCTTGCTTGCAAGGGTTCTTCGAGACCCATGGGCACCCTCTATAAACTAACCAATGAGAATACACCAAGTGCTACTACCTGCTCCAACTGGCTGGATCATCCCACAGATAGATTCCTGAACAGAAGAGGACGGACACACGGAGCACCTCCCACCGGACTACCTGACCTGACTACCTGACCACATTTATAGGGAGCTCAAGAGCAGGTCCAATGAGCCTATGATGTCATCAGATAGGAGAGGTAACTTTGGGGATGGGGGCAGGAAAGTGATAGGGAAAAAGTGGCCCTTCACGGAGCTGGTAACATGGCGTTTTTCTTTCTTTTTTTCAATCGATTTCAGAGAGGAAGAAAGAGGGAGCAAGAGATAGAAACATCAATGATGAGAGAATTATTGACCAGCTGCCTCCTGCATGCCCACTGCTGGGGATTGAGCCCACAACCCAAGCAGATACCCTGACCAGGAATTGAGCCATGACCTCCTGGTTCATAGATCAACACTCAACCACTGAGCCATGCTAGCTGGGTGACATAGGGTTTTTCTTGACTTGGGTGGTGATTGAATGAAGGTTCCTTTTGTGATGACTCCCCTAGCCCTGCAAATCTTAACCCACTTTCTGCATGTATGTTACACTCCAGTAAGTTTGTTTTAAAAGGCACCGGCATGGAGGCATGCATATGACTGCAGCTCTCTGGGTAGTCTCCTCAGCAGCCCCCAACATACTGTTCTTGCTTGGGAGGTGTCAGAAATGCTCCTCTGGGGGGCCCCCCTGCAACCCACAGAACAAAGCTTTTCTGGAAAAACAACCTCCCTCAAACACCATCCCTTCTCAGTGGCTGAAGAGAGAAGGGAGGAGAGGAGGATGAGTATTTGTAAATGGACAAAAGTTTTGGTGCCCAAGTCGACAGTAGGACCCAGGAGCTGTTCTCTCCTGGCCACACCCCACCACTGCGCCTTAGAAAAGGAAGGGACTGTGGTATCCCTGCTGGGAAGGCAGTGCCCAGAAGGGGCTGGAATGTTCTGCCCCAGAATGTCCTGCCAATGTCCTGACAATGTTCCCACACTTGCACCAAGCCTTGTCACCTGAGGGCCCCAGCACATACATGGCTGCCCATCAGAATTAGCTGTGGTTGATGAAGCAGGGACATCAAAGGAGCCACAGGGGGGATAAGGAAACAAATGAAAAATCGAGTTCTCAGCCAGTGCTGATACCTAAGCTATGCTATTTGTCTCATGTCACATCCCCACCCTGCCCACCCCCGGCCAGGCAGGGCAAGAGCCCGCCACCCTGGGGCAGAGAGGCCAATTCTCCACACCCTGGGGTCTGCGGAGTGGGCTCAGACTGGAGCTCATGCGCTGTGGGCCCAGCCCCTGAGGCCGCTTCCTCCCTGGCCCGCCTCCAGCTCTCCCAAGCCTCTGCCAACTCCCGGAGGAGCAAGACTTCTTCCTTTCTTTTTGTTGATTAAATTCTGGATCGGGTCAGACCTCAGTCCAGGGTCCAGCTGGAAACAAGGGGTCTGAAGCTGGCATCAGAAAGTTCAGGGTGCAGCCTGGCTGAACCAGAGCAAGTGGCCTAAAGATGGTGTGAGGTCTGCTGGCTGGGCTCCAGGCTTTGTTCTCCTGGGCTCTGCTGTGCTCTGGGCCCAGACCAGCCCTGGGGGCAATACTGCCCCCTGAGAGGGAAGCAGAGCTCCCTGCTAGGGAGTAACAGTGGGCAGGAACGGGGCTTCTGGGACAAAGAAGCAAATTGTGGCGCAGGATGCCCACGCCCAGGTCCCGTGACAGCTGCTGGTGGCAATGACGAACCGTGTGCTTGCTTAATGTCAATCCTGGGGATGCTGAGGTCACAGGCTGAGGTTGGCAGAGTATGGGGCCTCCTCTAAGGGAAGAGCTGCAGGAGGTGCCTGTCACCTAGAAGGCCCTTCAGCCACATGCTCGCTCCCCTAGGCCCAGCCCTCACTTTGCACAGCCCTCTCCTGCTGACTAGCTCCTCTACTTCCTACAGGTATTGGCCGTCACACAAATAATTGCTACCTTTTGCTATGCGTAGAAACCAACGACCTGTTAGGACCATTGTCACTGGGGCCAAGGCCTCCAATGGAGTTGGGGTGTGTGCTGTGGCCCCTTTGGTCAAATGTGTGAGGTGGGCTCCAGTCCATGTGCTGGGCTCACATCTCCCTGAACCAAAAGCAGTTGGGTTTTTATAGTGAAGACCAGGAAGCTGAGCAAGGAAGTCATTTCATTGGCTGTAGCTGCAGCAGTTGCCTTATTTAGGAAACACCAGTGGGCTGTTTGTGATTGGTGGCTCATGAGTTTCATTTTCTCAGTTCCACACATGAACTCTGGTTTCGCGTGGCTTGGCTAGGCTACGAAGGCATTAGAGCCCCTCTGCTACTTGCTTCTTTAATTACCTCAACAGAAGCAAGCCTGAAAAAAAATACATACAGTTTGATTTAATATAGTTTAAAAACAAAATTAAAATGTAGGTCCGAGTTGCATACACAGGTGGTAGTTACTACAGCAGAGTTAGCAGAGTGGTTACTTCTAGAGAAGAGGAGAGAAACTGATAGGAAGGGACACTTGGGAGGGGGGCTTCTAGAATAATGACAATATTCTATTTTTTAATTTGGTGGTATTTGATTTATAATTATTCATTATGTGAGTATATGTGTTTTATCCACTATTCTGTCTGTATGTTGCATGAAACATTTTTGAAAAAAGAAAGTCAGGTCTTAAAAACCAGACCTGTGAGGCAAACAGATACAGACAAATGCAAAGGGAAAGTCATTCCAGCCATGAGAGCAAACTACCTTATCCTTCACTGGTCAAGCAAGGACTGTCCTTCACTGGTCAAGCAAGGCACCAGGAAACATCAGTGACATAAAGAAAAAAATCAACAGAATTACCACCGCCAGAGAAAGCAGAGCTGTAGGATGAAGAAGAAGAAAATTATTTTTAACACTGTAATCAGTACCTTCAGAGAGATTTAAGAGTAAGTTTCATTCAAAGACTATTTGGTTAAAAGGTTAATATTGAATTGGTCAGCATCACAAATGTAGAACCATGATTAAGTTCAGCTTAAAAATCTCATTATTCTAATTATACTTCAAAAGAGATTTTTTATAACTTCACAAAAATCCCTTTAATATTTGAAATTGTTGCATTAATATATCATATTGATTTCCTTTGTAAGTATTCATGTATTTACCTGACTCAAAAAACCTTCCAATTACTTATGCAAGTCCCTATTTACCGAAGGTTGATAAATTTAACCGATTAAACTTATAAATAACACATATGCTAAATATCCCAATATTGTTTGTAAACAATAAATGTTCAGTTTAAGATGACAAATCTAAATAAATTCTTCAATCATAACTTTTAAAATGAATCCACTAAAAACACACACACACACACACACAACAAACACTCAAAGGTTGACCTGCCCGAACCTGAGCAAACTTCACCTCTCACCTTCTTCCCCAAACATGAGCTTCAGTGCCCACTCCAGCTTCTCCAGCACCCAACTCCCAGGCCTGGGCTCCCTGCAGTCACACAGCCACTGGCCCAGGCCCGATGGCCAGCAGCGTGGCCAACATATACACAGGCGCCAGGGACTCGGGCTCCTGGATCTCCATGTCCCACTTCAGGGCAGCTGGGATTCCCAGGGCTTGGCTGTGAGAGTGGCCCAGGGTCTAGCAGGCATAAGGGGCATCCAGAGCAAGAATGAGACTAGGTGCTCTAACTGGTTTGGCTCAGTGGATAGAGTGTCGGCCTGCGGACTCAAGGGTCCCAGGTTCAATTCCGGTCAAGGGCATGTACCTTGGTTGCAGGCACATCCCCAGTAGGAGGTGTGCAGGAGGCAGCTGATCAATGTTTTTCTCTCATCGATGGTTCTAACTTTCTAACCCTTTCCCTTCCTCTCTGTAAAAAATCAATAAAATATATTAAAAATAAAAATAATAGAAAAAAGAATGAGACTAGGCAAGGCCTGAATGACTACCTGGCCTCCTGCCAGGAGAGGGTGAGGAGCCTGGGGCTGGTGATCAGAGACTGGAGAGTAAAATCCAGAACACCTGAAGGAGAAGAGACTCTGGATCAGAGACATTCATAGTTGTGATGGCAAACAGGTTTGATGTCATGTGTGAACTCAACCGATTGGCAGTGGCTACAGAGTACTGAGTTGAGAAGTGTTTCTGTAAGTTGTTTGCATTGAAGGGCCTCACATGTTCACTGCCTCGGTGAATTCACATGTGTGGTGTTTGAACACTTTAAAGAATGTAACAACATCCACAAAACCTAACTAAAGAGGGTCTCAAATGAAGGCAGGAGGAAACTGTTATACAAGAGATGGTGTGAATCTCCCCAGCCCCGAGTTCCGAGTTTGGCCCAGGTTCTGACAGAAGCAGAATGCTTGCAGGTTGCCATTTCTGCCCTGGCATCTGTACCGTCACCATGAGGTGATGTTCACATGTGTGGTGTTTGAACACTTCTAAAGGATGTAACAACATCCACAAAACCTAACTAAAGAGGATCCCAAATGAGGGCAGGGGGAAACGGTTATAAAAGGGGACGGGAGGAATGCACCTGCAGCTGCACCCACCCATCCTCCATGGAAAGTATGCGTTAGGCACGGCTATTCCATGTGCCTTTGACATCTCACATTTGGGTGAAGCCCAGTTTTGAAATGTAGTGTCCTCAGCGTGTACTGGCTGGGAGCGTTCACCCATGCATCACATCTCTGGAATGTTAGAGAAAACGGTGCCAGGCAAGCTAGGACACAGCAATCTGAAATGTGTCCATGTGTTTGGCCCCAAAGGCAGTTGAGAGAAAGGCTGGTCCTGAAATGTATTTTCTAGAGTGCTGACAATGTGGACAGGAAAACCAACATGGAGTACTGAATAAAGGGACACATGACCTAAATGCTCAACAATGGAGAAGGGGGTTAAATTATGGCATACGCATAGGATAAAGTATTACGCAGCAATTAAAAAGATTAAAGGAAATTTTGATGGCCAACAATATAATAGACATATAAACGTAGGCATGTATGCACACACACACACACACACACACACACACACACACAAACCCTTCTTCCATATAGCTATTCATTCTCATTAGAAAAAAATACTCCATTATTAAATGCACCAAAGTAACACTGGTAATAGTTTTAAATCTTTTAAAAATTTTTATTGATTTATTGGAGTGACATTGGTTAATAAAATTACATAGGTGTACAATTCTATAACACAGTGGGTAATATTTTGGTGGGGGATTCTGGAGGATTGTTTTTTAAATATATATCCTCCAAATCAACTCCCATGAGCCCAAATTTCTTCCTCTTTCTCTAAAAATCAATTAAAAGTATTTTTTTTAAATGTCCCAGACAGATCTGAGACCCCAGCACTGAACACAATGTAAGGCTTTGTCCTTTTTGCTGGAAAAGTAACAGGGGAGAGTATCACCACTATTCTTAGTCATGCCTGCACTGGGGAAAATGAGCAACTCCTGTTCACTCCTGCCCCCGCTCGGTGTCTAAATCCAGTTTGTGCGCTTTCTCAGGTGTGAGCTGTGGGAAGACCCCTGGTTACCCACCCGCTCAAGCCCCCTACTCTTTATCACAATATGATACACAGCAAGGCTAAGGTCCAGACTGTCTGGAAACTGAGATTCCACCCTGAGGCAGAGGTTAGATAACACCTAGAAACTGAACACTGTATTTGCTAGAATATAAAGTGTGTGAAACCCTCTGAACAGTTCCATCTCGTGGTGTCCACAAATGTCGCTCGCACTAAGTTTAAAAGAAATCAGAGGATGGCCTAGTCCAGGAAGAGAAAGCGTCTCCAGGTTGGCAGATCTCTAGCGTGTACCATCCGTGGCCATGCCAATTGTGAACATAAAAAACTTTCCAAATACTCATCCTGACAAACAGTTCATTATAGTCACCCAGATAGAAAATAAGTTCTTAACTATTTTGAAGTAGATTTCAACATAGAAAAAAAAAAGCATAATCAGAACATTTTATATAGTAAATAAACTTTATTTATCTGGTTTTCCGAGATGACATTGCCAAGTCACAGATTTGCATACAATAGTTATGTGTTGACTATTTACAATTTACAGTAGTATTTTTTCCTCTGAAAAATATAAGTACAAAAGCTAAGTAAACAATGAGGTACTGCAGTTTGGATTTCTCATATGTCGTAACTTAAAGAACTAGTCTTTAGTAAAATTCAACAAATCAATCTGGATAAAATAGTAAATTAAATGCTCTAATTTATCAGAAAAACCCCCACTAAGTTTCACCTCAAAATGTATTGCACAAGTCTTTTTTAAAAAATCACTCTAAAAATAAATAGGAAAGGCAAGCAGTTCTTTTAAAAGAGAGACAAAAAGAATGGAAGAAAGGAACATTAAGTGAGTCCATAAATCAGGTTTAGTTATTTTAAAAATTTTCAACAACATAAAACTCCTCCCAGGAGAAAAAAGAAGAAAGAAAAAACTACCACCATTTCCCACTGATACGACCTATTTTAAAGGCTAATCGTTGGCCAATGTCCGATTTTTCAGGAAGAGCCCTGAACAACAGCTTTTCTCAAAGAGCAGCAAGCACTGTGCAGCCTTCCAACCTTGCCCAACACGATTCTCCTCATTTCTTCAAGATGAAGATCGAAGCCATGACTGGAAAAGGAAAAGAGGATAAAGAAAAACACACCTTTAAAGCCAGCCCTTTGGGAGATTAGTTGTTTCAAGTTAAAATTAAATTATCTTCTATGGCCTGGGACTGAAGTAGAAATTTTCTAAGAATTAAGTCGTACAGAAATCTTCTAAAAATCAATGACCTTGGAATGATCTGACCTGGAGTCAGCAATCCTGACAAAGAGTGTGTGTAAGTGACACTGAAGCTCTTGCCCTTCACCACATATTGAATGCTACCAGGTCATAGATAGAGAAAGCCGAGTCACCATGCTGACTCAGCAGTCTCTCTGGGATGCAGCAATTCAGACTGCATTACAGAGGAGAGAATTCCTCCTTTGCCCTAATGTGTGGTTTTCCTACATACTGCAGTTCTCGGGGTGGCATGCATGGCAGCAAAGGACAAACATCATTTTGGTGTAAAAGCTATCCCTCACCTGAAATTAACAAACTTAACTTTAAAAATGTAAAATGTTATGAGAAATAATGCCAAACCTTCCTAGTAAGTTGCCTTAAAATGCTAAAATCTCATAGATCAAATATGAGGTTTAAAAAAAGCCATAAAAATAAATTACCGAGCCCTAACCGGTTTGGCTCAGTGGATAGAGCATTGGCCGGAGGACTGAAGGGTCCCAGGTTCGATTCCGGTCAAGGGCATGTGCCTTGGTTGCGGGCACATCCCCAGTGAGAGGTGTGCAGGAGGCAGCTGGTCAATGTTTCTCTCTCATCGATGTTTCTAACTCTCTCTCCCTCCCCCTTCCTCTGTGTAAAAAAATCAATATATAAAAAAATAAACAAAATAAATAAATTACCGAATAATATTAAGTAAATGAGACAAACTTTCATATATATTTAGTGGAAAGAGAAAGTTTTAAAGTCTTCTCAATCTGTAAATGAACAATATAATCCACTACTTATGATGTACTTAAAACAGCATCATATTCTTTATAAAACTAGCTCAATGATCATGTTGGCCCTAGAAATCTAGACAAGATAAGAAAAAAAACCTTCTGACTTATATGCATGCATATAAGCATAACCAATGGACACAAGACACTGGGAGGTGGGGGGGGGATAAGGCCATATGCAGGGGATAGGGGAGGTCAGGGGAAGGTCAATGGAGAAAAAAGGAGCATATGTACTACTATTTATAATACTTTAAACAAGAAAATAAATTTTTTTTAAAAAACCCTTCTGTTATATTTAAATTCCCATGTCAGTTA